GGCAGTAGCTCATCGGGTTGACGTCGGCCCCATCAGGCCAGATCCAAGACGTGGACGAAGTAGCAACGATACCCACACGCCTGAGCGAGGCCCACAGGGCGCAAAAGGGGCCCCTAATGGAGGACCACGGGTGCTCCAGCCTAGAAAGGTGCCTGTGGGCCTCATGGAGCCCGAAATCCAGAGCCTCATGGGGCAACCAACGATGCCAGAGCGCATGGAGGTAGAACTTAACGGGCAACCAAGTGGCTCTAAAGATGTGGTCCAATCGGGGAACAGGGGAGAGAAGAAGGCTCAAGGTCCGAGACTTGCCATCCTGACGGTGGTCCTGCAGCTTGCCAGCCGCACCTCGAAGAACCTCCAACTCCTGCCCATTGGTACCCATAACGGACGCTCCGAAAAGGACCGAAGACTCGAGAGCAGCTCGAGCCATGCGCCCGAGCACGCGGCGACGAGGCTTGGTGCCCTTGAGGAAACCCATTCGGACCCACCTAGGCCTCATACAAGCGACACGCTCACGGACCGTGCCTCGACTAGCAACCTTGCCCGAGCCGTAGTCCACGCCGAGATTGCGCTCAGACCTGACGGGCAGGGGTTGAAGGCTCTTCAACTTGGCTGCAATGGAAGCGCGAACCGTAGGGAAATTGCTCAAAACGCGAGACTTGTCGAGAGCGAACTTTAAGTCGACTTGGCGCAGTTGCTGCAGCAGGTGCTGGCTTGCGGCGGTGATGTCGCCGACAACGCGGGACTCGGTGCCCCAGCGCATGAGGCCAAAATCGTCAACGTTGACGGACAGCTGCACCGCAGGGCAGGCGGCCTGCACGGCGTCCAAAGGGCCTAAGATAATCAACTGCAGCATACAAGTGGCAAAAGTACATCCTGGCCCAATCGTTTGCTCAACACAAAGCAAATACCCAACAGCACCCCCAACATCGAGAATGCGCGGAGCGCGGTAGATTTGGACCAAGAGATACAATTGCCACAAAGGAAAGCTAGTGGCCGCCGCAGCGGCCAACAAATGATGATGCTGAACCAACTCGAACGCCTTCTTTAAATCGAGCAAAATGGTGGCACACGCACGATCCTTGCAGGTGGAATGCTCCGACCAGGCCGCCTGGATCCAAACGCATTTTTCAGAAGCCTTACCATGGGTGCTCCAAAAGAAAGCCCTGAAGTTGGCGGCCTGTCACTTTCTGATGAGAGGACGTCTCAGGCGACACTGGGCCCTGGCCAACACGTGCAAGAGCCCCAACGGCCTGACGCCACCCGTCCTCTTGAGAATGAACACGATGCGATTCCACATGCTGGGCCACTCTCGCTTATGCTCAATGTGGTGCACAATATCACACAGAGCCTCGAGAGCAACAGGCGGCAACAGCAGAAGAGAGCGAGGGGAGATCTGATCAAACCCCGTGCCCGTCGAGGGCTTGCAAGACTTGAGAGCTCGCACGAGCTCGGCCGCAGTGGGCCGCGGAGGGGGGTCCCCGAGCTCAGGCCAATTGTGGGGCTGGTGCTCAACTCCGACTTGCCACCAACGCTTCCACTCTTCTTCGAGAGCTTCTATCGACTCGAGCGACGCGCAGGGTCGAAGGGTGCCATGACAGAGGGAGGCAGGCTGAAAGGGAGTGGGCAGGGCCGAAAATTTGTACAAAGCTGACATGCCCCCAGACGAACGCTTGTCAACCCAATTCCCCCATTCACGTTCCTTGGCCTGAGCGCAGGCCTGCTGGAGCCTCGTCGCCTCGCGGCTCGCGAGGTCGGCGTGGCACCGTGCCGACTCCACCCGGGGGAATAAAACCTGCCTCAGCATCGCCGTCCAAGCGGCGACCTCAGCCGTCTCTGGTAGACGGTGAAAGCGAGAAAGACGCCCAGCAGCTGCGACGAGCTGCGACCTTTGGGCGCCAACAGGCGACCTACTGAGATCGGCCAGCACATTCTGAACCTTACGCCACCAACAGGCGAGAGGGGACAACTTAGGAAACCTGGGGGGGGGGGGGGGGCAGACGGAGTTTTCCACTTAACCTGGAGCGGCCTGTCCCTCCCAACATACTCGTCGCACTGGTCCCCAGAAATCTGAAACAAATACAGCCGCTGACCTTCAGCAGCCCTGAGAAACGCATACCACTTATCCTGGAACAGGAGATCAGGATCCGAACAGAGCTCCCCGACGTGGTCCCAGGGGTCGACCTCGGGAGGGGGCCCAAGACACCCAATGGGCAACTCAGTGGGGAACCTCTTAGGGACCTGCACGAAACGAACGCTACACAGGGGCTCGACTGACGGTAAGACGAGCCTAACAGGGAGGTGGGGAGAGATGGGGACGTTCTGAACAACTTCGGCCCTGGCCTGACCTGCAATCTGGCGCGAAACCACGAAGTAGTCGATGCAGCGCATGGCGGGCCTGCACGTACCCTCAGTGGGCGCAGCGATGGTTGCGTCGAGAGCGTCAACCCAAGACGTCTTGACCAAATCACTTGGAGTGCAATTCCAATCACCACCGACAATGAAGGGCATGCCTGCAGCCTTGAGCCGAGCTCCCACACGCGACAGAATCGCCCAGCTCTGCTCGTCAATGCCCACGGAGTGCACTAGGTACAAGTTGACAATGAGGAAGCCGCCACGCAACATACCACCCACATGCAAAGCCGCTGCACGAGCGGCCACAATCTGACTGTCGAAATTCTCGAGCGGCGCAATCCCCACACGAGCAACTGAAGCCGTAACCAGCCCTCCAGACGGATTACCAGCTGTGGGAAGCGCAGCCGTAGCTGAAGCCGACCACCCCGCAGCACGCATCTTGGACTCAAGAGCCTGAGAGGCAGCGGGCAGCATGCGGGACTCCTGCATCAAACTAACATCACTGTAGATGTACTCCGACAGGTACGCGTCGAGGCCGACTTGCCCACCAACGTTGGCGGTGATGATCGACCAAACTTTCTGCGCCTTCCTGCTAAACAGAAGGCCGATCTGCCGCAGCGGCAGGGGTACCGATCCGGTCGTCGAGCGGAGTGCACTTAAGCTTCTTCTGCGCAGCATCATTGAGCCCACCGACGATGTTGTCACACTGCTTGCGAGACAAGCCCTTGGACTGCAAGAACTTATCCCATCCTTCATCGGTGGTGAGACGCTGCAAAAAGGACGAGAAATGAGCTGAAGCATGCTGGCTGCCAGCCGCTCCTTGTGCCGAGTCGCTTTTCCCGACACCCCCCGTCGCCGCCCCCCCTCCAGACGGCGCAAGGGTGGCAGGCACAGCGCCTGGCGCGAAGGGCGACCCTGCTGCACCGAGCGCGTCTCCTCCAAAGACGGCTGTGGCGGCGGCAGCAGCGTCAAGGGATTGCGGCTCAGATACAGGAACGTCGCGCATGCCGTCGTCACTGTCACTGTCGGCCTCCTCACTGCCATCGCCCGCGGGGCGAAGCATGCCATCGCGAGTGGCAAGAAGAGAACGAAGCGAGCACGCAAGACTCTTGTCCATGGCCTCGAGCTGCAGCAACAAAGCGAATGCAGGATCATCGGGCTGAACTTCTGCGCGATCGCCGCCAGGAGGCCGAGTCCGCACAGGACCGCTGCTGGCAGCAGCCCAGGCCGCAGTGGCCTTGGCCGCGCACGCGAGCTCGTGCGCCTGGACCTGCTCGAGCTTGGCCTTGAGCGCCACGAGCTCCGAAAACTTTTCCTGCACGTGACTCTCGAGCTTGTCGACCTTCTGCTGCACTTGCAATGCCTCCCGCTTGGCCTCGTCGTAAGCCATCTGGGCGTGCTTGGCGACCGCCTTGGGGTCCCCCGCCGCCAAGGCCCTCTGGGCCAATACCCTGGCCCGCTGCGAAGGGCCCAGGAGCGACTTGGAGGTCTCGAAGTCCGCATCGGACATCTTGACGAACACGGAAAGCTGTGAGGAATCGAGCAGCGGAATCTTGGGCTTGGCGTCCTTCTGCCGCGGTGGCCCATGAGCCCAGTCCCCTTGCGGGGGCAGGGCTGGGCGAGTAGCGGGCACAGGAGGACGCTCAGCACCACAAATGTAACAATACTTCTTGGACGCGAAGTTGTTCTTGAAACCGCACTTCTTCTTGGGACAACACCAGACATCGCCGCCGCCGCGACTGGTACCTCCCATGAAAGCTTGAACCAGCAAAGGTGCTCCAACAGGAGCTCACAAAAAGGGAGCCTGCACAGGGCAGCGCGAGTGGACGGTGGGGGCCGCAAATCCCCTTCGCCAGTGAGGTCAAGTCCTGAGCCAGAGAAACGCTACGGACTTGAGCCAAAATGGCTACGGGCCTCCTCCTCCTCCTCCTCCTCCTCCTCCTCCTCCTTGTCATGCCCTTTTCCTCCTCCTCTTCCTCCTCCGAACCCCCTTTCCTCACCCCCCTCCTCCTCCACCTCCTCCTCCTCCGCCTCCTCCTCCCGACCTCATATATCCTCCTCCTCCTCCTCCTCATATATTCCTCCCTCCTCCTCCTCCTCGATCCTCCTCCCGATCCTCCTCCTCGCATCCTCCTCCTCCTCCCTCCCTCCCTCCTCCTCCTCTCTCCTCCTCCTCCTCCTCCTCCTCCTCCGCCCTCCTCCTCCTCCTCCTCCTCCCCCTCCTCCTCCTCCTCCCTCCTCCACCTCCCTCCTCCTCCTCCTCCTCCTCCTCCGCATCCTCCTCCTCCCTCCCCCTTCCTCCCTTTCCTCCTCCACCTCCTCCTCCTCCTCCTCCTCCTCCTCCTTCTCCCTCCTCCCTCCTCCCTCCTCCTCCTCCTTCCCCTCCTCCTCCTCCTCCTCCTCCTCCTCCTCCTCCTCCTCCTCCTCCTCCTGATGCTCTCCCTCATCACCCTGGTCAAAGTGCTTGCGCAGAGGCGCTATGACCCAGGAGATACGGGGAGGAGGAGGAGAAGGGAGAGAGTGCGGAGGAGGCGGAGGAGGAGGGGGAGGAGGAGGAGGAGGAGATGTTGCGGTGGGGTAGGCGAAGACGTCGTCTTTCCACTTGAGGTCCGGCAAAGTACTCTGGCCATCTGCCTGTCATCGGTAGCTCCGCCGGCTCAAATCCGTGGAAAGGGACTCCTCCGCCTCGCCGACCTGAGTCGACCGCTGCGCAGCAATGGCCCTGCTTCGGAACGCGGCGAGGATCGCGCGCGCTGGGCTGCCGCTGGCACCCGAGACTCCCGAAAACCGGGTCGATGCGAATGGGCTCGACGACTGGCTCCTCCCTCGACGTTCCAGGGTCGAGAGTGTTTGAACCTCGGCCCCGCGCAGAGGGGGGCCAGGGGGAGGGTGGCAGGCTTCTTGGAGGCACGCCTGCTTCTACGAAGCCTTCCCCCCTCCCCCTGCCCCCCCTGTGCTCGCCGCTGTAGACAGGCTCGGGCCCTCCCTGGACTTCCAGAGGCCTCCAGAGGCCTCCCGAGGCGGCCAGGGACCCCAGCGACGGCCTCCGCGATCCGCGCCCCCGCTCTCGCGGTGGGCCCTGCCCCTCCCGCGGCAGACGCCCAGCGCCAGGGCGGCAGCCGCTGTCGATCTGCGGCCGGCGCCCACTGTCCAGCATCGACTGGGCGTCGCGCAATGGTGCAGAAAAGCAGCGCCTTGGGGCCCCTGACGGGGCCCTTTAGGGCCACGGAGGAGACCTTTCGGGCCCGAGAAGCGAAGAGTGCACCTTGCTCCCCCCCCCCATTGATCGCCCCCCCATGAAGCGACGCCCACGTCGTGCCCATCTCTCAGCGGGAGGCACCTCTGTGCACCACAAGCAGGCCTGGCCAGGGCCATGCTGGGCCCCATGGATCCTGGGAACACGCAGTGACATAAACATCATCTTTCGGACGTCCACGCACATGTCTTGGATCGGCGCTGGGGCCCGCCCCGACGGCGCCTCCGGCGCCGCCCCTGGCGGGCTCCGCGCGCCAGGGGGGGGGATCCATCGCCGATCCCAGCCATCCGCGCGGCACTCCGAAAGCGGATGGTTTCCTCGAGCCCTGGGCCCCATGGATGGATGGTGTGCACGACCCTCCTGACATCGGGCGCGCACGGTCAGGAACGGCGGCTCAGCGCGTCGCTGCGCCAGTTCTTGCCCACCACGCCTCGGCGCGGCACGCCATCCACCGCACGGCCCCCAAGAGCGCCGACGCCCCGAGCGTCTCCCAGCCTCCCGCCCCGAGGAGCGGAGCGGCACCCCAGCCGCCTGCAAGGCATAGCGTGGCGCCTGGGCCGCCGCCGCGACACGCCGAGCAAAAGTTCCCGGCCATACACACACATCTATATATACATATATACATACATACATACATACATACATACATACATGCATACATACATACATACATACATACATACATACATACATACATGCATGCATACATACATGCATACATGCATACATACATGCATGCATGCATGCATGCATGCATGCATGCATGCATGCATACATACATACATACATACATACATAAATACATACATACATACATACATACATACATACATACATACATACATACATACATACATACATACATACATACATACATACATATATGTGTGTGCGTGTGTGTGTGTGTGAACTTGTGTATAAGTATATACATATGTACATATGTATATATATATACACATGTTGTGTGTACTTCTATATATATATGTATGTATATATGCACCGTGCCTGGGCCCAGGATGGCAGTGGCGCAGGCACGGTGATGGTGCACGGGTGCCGCTGTCAGGCAGGCATCGGCTCGAGATGCACCTGCCCACAGCGTTCCGGAACGAACGCCTTCGGAGCGTGCCGGACAGCTCCGAAGCGGCCGCGGCGCCCGATGCGTCCTCCGAGCCCGCCGAGTCTCAGCGACTCTGATCTGCATCGGTCCGATGTTGTCTCGACTCTGCCCTCGTCTTGCGCTGGCGGCGTCCCCGTTCCTTCCGATGCGCTGCGCAGGCACGCGGCGCGCCGGCCGCCTCCCCGATCGGCTCCGTGCGCTGCTTCATGGCGCCGTCCGCCCCGCGCCTGGGGCACAACCTGGAGGACCACTACGACATGGCGGAGTTCATGTGCAAGATGCACAGCCCGCTCGGAGATGCGAGGGGGAATACCGAGGAAGCAAAGACGCCAATAGGCATGCACTTTGGGCGCTCCGCGCGGACTTCGTGGATCCGCGCTGGGCCCCCCCCGCGGCGCCTCTGGCGCCGCCGCTCCGCGCGCCAGGGAGGGGGTTCCAGCGCAGATCCAAGAAATCAGCGCGGAGCGCCAAAAGTTTATGTTTATGGCGTTTTTCTTCTTCTAGATGCCGATGCCCTGCCACCTTCCGTGGAATCGGACGATCGTGTTCCTCTGCGGCGCAGTGGCGCCCCTGGCCCCCGAAGGTCGACGTTCGCGCCGAAACCAGCGAGACTCCAATGTTCTTTGACAGACGACGCAGGCCGCGCTGAGCGCGTCGCCGAACATTGACGTTGGGGGGGCTACACCTTAGGCGATGCTTAAGAAAACCTAGATTTTCGGCCACAGTCTCGATTATTCTTAGTGCTTCAACGTAAATCTTAATATTTTAAAAGAAATGTAGGGTTTTTATTCAAGTTCTGAGACTATGAATTTCTTAACCCATGACTTCTTAAGCATTTCGCAGGGTGTAGGGGGGTTGCAAACAACCTGCGTTTGATCTCCAGGAAGGTTGTAGGCCGCCCGTGGGGGCGACGAGATTGTCGCGCTTCGCGGTCCGACGCCGGAGCGGCTGCCGTTCTCCACGGGGGGCGGCCCGTGGGTCTGTGATGGTGCGGAGATGGCATTGCGCGCAGGGCATCGCGGGGCGCGATGGCGCGAAGTTGGGTGACCCGGATTCTGCCGCCCCCTCCCCCCCTTGGCGGTGCGCAGAAGGGGGTGGCAAGAGGGGGGGGCCTTCTGAGAAGGCGGCGCGCCTCTCAGAAGGCAGGGGCCTCCTGAGAAGGGCCTGGAGGCGTCCAAGAAGGCTTCGTGGAACTCCTCCTCCTCCTCCTCCTCCTCCTCCTCCTCCTCTCCTCCTCCTCCTCCTCCTCCTCCTCATCCTCCCTCCTCCTCCTCCACCTCCGCCTAACCGCCTCCGCCTCCTCCGCCTCCTCCTCCTCCTCCTCCTCCTCCTCCTCCCTCCTACTCCTCCTCCCTTCCTCCCCTCTCACCTCCTCCCTCCTCCCTCTCCCTCACCAACTCCCTCCTCCACCCTCCTACCCCCTCCTCCCACCTCCTCCTCCCTCCCTGTCCCTCCTCCTCCTCCACCTACTCCTCCCTCCTCCGCCACCTCCTTCCTCCTCCCCTCCCACCCTCCTCCCCTCCTCCCCTCTTCCCTCCTTCCCTCCTCCCTCCTCCTCCTCCTCCCTGCTCCCTTCCTCCCTCCTCCTCCTCCCCCTCCCCTCCTCCTCCTTCCCTCCTCCCTCCTCCCTCCACCCTCCTCCCTCCTATCCGCCCTCCTTCCTCCCTCCTCATCCTCCCCTCCCTCCCTCCTCCTTCTCCTCCTCCTCCTCCTCCTACCTCCTCCTCCTCCTCACTGTGTCGTATCGCACCTTCCTCCAACCACTCCTCCTCCTCCTCACCACCTCCCTCCTCCATCCTCCTCCTCCTCCCTCCTCCCGTCCTCCCTCCTCACCTCCTCCCTCCTCCCTCCCTCCTCCTCCCTCCTCCACCTCCTCCTCCTCCTCCTCCTCCTCCGCCTCCTCCTCCTCCTCCTCCTCCTCCCCTCCTCCTCCTCATCCTTCACTCTCTCTCTCCTCGTCCTCCACCTCCTCCTCCTCCTCCTCCTCCTCTCCTCCTCCTCCTCCTCCCCACTCCTCCTCCTCCCTCCTCCTCCTCTCCTCCTCTTCCTTCTCCCACTCCCCACCCCTCCTCCCTCCTCCTCCTCCTCCATCCCACCTCCTCCTCCTCCTCCTCCTCCTCCTCATCATCATCATCATCATCATCATCATCATCATCATCATCATCATCATTATCAGCATCCTCTGCTCTCTCACGTCTTTTGGAGCGCTCTGGGGGAGCCCTCGTCGCCAGGGGCAAGCAGCCGCCCCGACGCCTTTGCCAGAGCTCGCTCCGGCAGGGGTATAGTTTTTTTGTCGGGTTTCGTAGCGTCTTTTGGTTTTGGTGGGTTTCCGTTGTTATGTTGTTTTCCTTTTTTTGTATTGTGCAATCTCCCCCAGGAGAGTACCTCGTCTGGGCGCTGATGTTCAGCACCTTCGGCGTCACCTTCGTGCCGATGCTCCACTCGAACTACTACTTCACGGGCCGCTTCCTGCCCAAGGACCAGGGCAACACCCAGCTGTGCGACGACAGTTGGTAGGACCCGTGCAGCGGCCGAAGGACTGAGGGCACCGCGGGCACGCGCAACGGTTTGGTGGACGCGGGCCGTCCACACGCACCCGTCCTGGCCACGCCGATGCCCAGCCAGGGGTCCGTGCACGGCAGGTCCGTGTCGCGTCGACGCGGCAAAGAGCCCGCCGCGGGCGTTCAAGGGTCCTGGAGATCCGACGGCGCGAAGAAGTTGACGCATCGTCAGAAATCACGACCGGGGAGCCCTACAGAGGGGGCCCATGCCAAGAACTGCCCTGCTTGCCTCCAGGGTGCCCTGGGTTTCTTGGGTTTCGATGGTTCTGCCATGGACAGCGCGGCGTTCCCAGGCCAAAAATCGATGGACGTCCTGGGGTCTCAGGGTTCGACTTCTTGGGGAAGGTTTCTTGTGGAAGGTTTCTTGTGGACAGGCCTCCACTGTAGGCCCCATCATTCTGCTCCACTTTGCAAGCCGGATCGAGCTGTGAGGGTCCCAGTGCCCGATAGGCTGGGCGAAAACGCCCGGCTCGAGAGAGTTGCCAGCGCCAGGATCTCGGGGTGGAGCGCCACAAGCGGCCCAGAATTTCTGCCAAGATGGATTGATCCGGCGATCGAGAAGTAAGTCGGGCCTGTCCCTCAACAGAAGGAGCATTCAAGAGCAATCATAAAATCGTATGGGGACGATTCCTGAGTATTTTCGAGCATGTTTTGAGTTGTTGTTTGACTATTTTTCATTTTTCGTTCAAGATCAGCCTGTAGGGGGACGTGCCCGACCTAAATCGAGAAGCCTCGAAGAAGAAGAAACGCCATAAACATCAACATCAACTTTTGGCGCTCTGAGCGGACTTCTCGGATCTGCGCTGGGCCCTCCCCCGGCGGCGCCTCCGGCGCCGCCCTTGGTGCGCTCCGCGCGCCCAAGGGAGGGGGGTCCAGCGCAGATCCAAGGCATCCGCGCGGAGCGCCACAGGTTTATGCTTATGCCGCTGCTGCTTCTTCTTCTTCTTAGTATTAGTATGAGTGTTATTATTATTATTAGTAGTATTATTAGTATTATTATTCTTATCTTATGCTTATTATTATTATTATTATTTAGTATTCTTATACGTCTTCTTATTTGTATTACTATTCCTATTATTATCATTCTTCTTCTTATTTTAACTAATGTCCCTCTTACTAATATTATTACGAATGTTATTATTATTATTATTCCTTCTCTTCTTATTCTTCTAGTCAGTATCAAAAATAATCTTTATTATTATCATTAGTATTATTGTTCTCCTCCACTCCTTCTTCTTCTCCTTCTTCTTCTAAATAGCCAGACGTCGGTCCATGCGGAACGATCCACGCGGGGTCGGGAGCCGACGCCGGGGCCCCGCCACGGCACGGCAGCCCGCCGCAGCGGGGTGCGCTCGCCTCCCTGGCGGAGGAGAGGAGACCGCACCTTCTCTCCGGGGCGGGGATTTCTGCATGACCTCCTCCTCCTCCTCCTCCTCCTCCTCCTCACTCCCTCCGCCTCTCCTCCTACCTCTGCTCCTACCTCCCCTCCCTCCCCCTCCTCCGCCGTCCTCCTCCTACCTCCTGCCCCTCCCTCCACCTCCGCCTCCGCCTCCTCCTCCCTCCTCCACCTCCTCCTCCTCCTCCTCCTCCTCCTCCCTCCCCCTCGCCCCCCCCGCCATCCTCCCTCCGCCTCCGCCTCCTCCTCCTCCTCCTCCTCCTCCTCCTCTTCCTCCTCTTCCTCCCTTAGTTGCCTCGATACGCCCGTTTTGAAACGCAATACGTCCCGTGTTCAAGACGTCCGTGTCAATACGTTGCGTGTTGGCTCCAAGTATTGGGCCACGTTTTGGCGAATGTGTCGCGTCGGACTTATGTTTTCAGCCTACGTGTTGAGCTCCGTATCGATACGCTACGGGTTGTGTGTTGCGTATCGGGGCAACTTAACGCCTGGAGGCTCAGTTTTCGGGGACCTCGGCATCAGAAGGCGAAAAGGCACCCCCACCCCCAGTCCCGACGCTCCCATCCCCGAGCCGGCGATGCAAGGGGTCGGGACAGGGGGTGGGGGTGGGCTTCCTCCATTCCTGGGCCCCGAAAGGCCACCCCCACCCCCAGTCCCGACCCCCTGGGTCGCGGGTTCCGGGATGGGGTCGGGACTGGGGGTGGGGGTGGCTTCTCGCCTTCCCACGACAGGCGGTGGATATGGACAGATTCGGGCCCCCAGGGGCCGAAGTATAGCCGCATCCACCGCCCGCCGGGGCGCCAGGACGTCGGTTCCCAGGCGGTCGATATGGGCAGATCCCCGCCTCGCGCCTTTTAATCACAGAAGCAAGGGCTCGGCGGTGCGCGCAGATGTCTTGAGCGCTGCGCTGGGCCCCCATCCCCCACGAGCCTTTAAAATTAAGTCGGACATGTCCCTCTACAGGGGGAATATTCAAAAATAGTCAAAACATAGTCTGGGGACAATGTTTATATGAATTCTTGACCATTGTGGGGTATTTTTGGACGATTGTCTGTTTTTTTTAAAAAAAAAAAAAAAAAAAAATCAGCCTGCAGGGAGACATGCCCGACCTAACGCTGGGCCCCCTATCCCCACGAGCCTTTAAGATTAAGTCGGGCATTTCGCTCTACAGGGGGAAAATAGCAGAAACATAGTCTAGGAACGATTTTCCACTATTTTTGATGATGTTTGAGAATTCCTCTGGCGAGTTTTAATTTTATTTTGAAATCCCCCCTGTAGGAGGTTCCAACTTCGCAACGGAACAGAACATCGGGCAAGTTTATTTGCATGGCGTTCGCCCCCCCACCCCCCCACCCCACCCCACCCCACCCCACCCCACCCCACACCACCCCGCTCCCACCCCACCCCACCCCTCGCCCCTCTTCCGACGAAAAGTGCCCCTCGACTTGCGTGGTTTCCGCGCGTGCAGGTCGTTTGCGGCTCAGTTCAGGTTCCTGGCCCCCTCCTCCTCTCCTCCTCCTCCTCCTCCTACTTCCTCATACTCCTCTCCCTCCTACCTCCGCCTGCTCTTCTCCTCCTCCTCCTCCGCCTCCCCTCCGCCGCCCTCCTCCGCTCCTCCTCCTCATCCTCCTCGTCCCTCCTCCTCCTACCTCCCTCCTCCTCCTCCTCCTCCTCCTCCTCCTCCTCCTCCTCCTCCCCCCCCCCTCCTCCCCCTCGCTCCCCCTCCTCCCCCCTCCTCCTCCTCCTCCTCCCTCCTCCTCCTCCTCCTCCCTCCTCCTCCTCCTCCCCCCTCCTTCCCCGCCGCCTCCTCCGCCCTCCTCCTGCTCCTCCTCCACCTCCTCCCGCCTCCTCCTCCGCGCCTCCTCCGCCTCCCCCCCCCCCCCCCCTCCTCCTCCTCGTCCTCCCCGCCTCCTCCTCCTCGCTCCTCCTCCTCCTCCTCCTCCTCCTCCTCCATCTCCTCCCCCTCCTCCCCCTCTCCTTCCCCCCCTCCTCCTCCTCCTCTCCCCCTCCTCCTCCTCCTCCGGCCTCCTCATCGCCGCCCTCCTCCGCTCCTCCTCTCCTCCTCCTCCTCCTCCTCCTCACTCCTCCTCCTCCCCTCCTCCTCCTCCTCCTCCTCCGCCCTCCCCCCCTCCCCCTCCTCCTCCCCCTCCTCCTCCTCCTCCACCTCCTCCTCCTCCTCCTCCTCCTCCTCCTCCTCCTCCTCCTCCCTCCATGCAAGTAGACCTGCGGGCGTCGACAAAAAACAGCAGGCTCCTCCGGCGCCTCTACGGCGGAAGCCCCGGCGCCCTCCGGCGCGAGCCAGGGGGATGGGGCCTGGGCGGCGGGGTGCAGCGCCGCGCCGGGAGATCGGCGTGGACCTCCAGACATGCTCGCGGGTGCCGTTCTTGCGGCTGCCCCCCCCCCCCCCGGCCAGTCCACGGGGGTGTGCGGTCGCAGCGCTGGAGTAAGGGCCGCTCTGGGCTCGGGGGGAGCTCGGTGCATGGGGGCCGTGCCTCAGAGCGAGGTCGGGGAGGCCCGTTCGTGGCCGAGCCGCCGGTGCCAGGAAGGCCCCGTCGTCCCTGCCTGAGCATGATTTTCCCTGACCATGCCACGGGGGCTCGGCGACACGTACAGTGGAGGCCCATGCCGGGAACCACCCTTGCCTGCCTCTCGGGTCTCCATGGTTGGGCCGTGGGAAGCGCGACGCTCCCACACCGAAAATCAATGGAAGTCCCGGGGCTCTCAGGGTTGGGTTTCTTGTCAGGGGTGGTGGACCTAAACAGTGTTTTGGCGATTTCGTGGGCCGTTTTCGTTCCGATTTCGTCCTGCGTTCAAGGCGGACTGAAGACAGAACGAGGGACAACACGGACACAAAACGGGAACGAAGAGCACCGTGGAGGTCCAGCCCTGTTTCTTGTGCCAGGGCCTCTTGTGGGCCGGCCTCCACGGCAGGAGTGACCCCGCTCGCCGGGGTGAGCTCTGGTGACCGCGGGTCCTGGGCGGCGCCGGCGGGCCGAGCCCCGCTTGGCATCGCTCGGACGCGTGCATTTGTCCTTCGGCGAGGGCCGTCGAGGAACATCCTCGACCACTTGGCGAAAAAACCACGCACGAAACCACAAAAGAACACAAAAGATGGACGTCCGAGCGATGGCGAGCGAGCGCGCGCGCCGCCACTGCCGCGCCGCAGGCCGGCGAGCGGCACGCGGCGCACCGGAGGCCACGCTTGCCCGCGGGGTCATTCTTTGCGCGTGCCGCCGAGGGTTGCGGACGAGGAGGGGGAGGGGGAGGGGGAGGGGGAGGGGGAGGACGAGGAGGAGGACGAGGAGGAGGAGGGGGAGGAGGAGGAGGAGGACGAGAGGAGAGGACGGAGGAGGAGGAGGAGAGGAGGAGGGAGGAAGTCGAGGAAGAATAAGAAAAGGAAGAAAAGGAAGAAGAGGAAGAGGTGGAGGAGGAGGAGGAGGAGGAGGAGGCGGAGGCCTGGAACTGGGCACCAACACCAGCACAGGGGAAAGGTGATCCTAGATTTCGCTGTTGGCGGTGATAGTTGGTTCACCTTGGAGCCAGAATGTTGCCACCATCACCGAGATCGGGATCTTCTTCCCTCGGTGGAGGCACACCGCCGATATTGCCGTTGGTGTCAAGCCACGCTTCGGAGGCTGATGGACCTCCTACCCTGACACGTCGATTCAGGAATTGGCCGTTTTCGGCTCGCGGGGGGGGCGTCGCGGCCGTCATCTTTGCGGGTCCGGGTGCGTCGGTTTCGGTCCCAGGCCGT